CTTGCCAGGCAGGCGCTTTTGCCGCTGAGCTAAATCCCCAGCCCCAGGAGCTAGTGTACTTTTTAACCAAGTGTGCTGCAGGTTTTTCTTACTGTTCTGAGGTCAGCGTTCATCTTAAAGGATATTTTCAACATACCGATGCAAAGGTCACAGTGGGCTCATAGGTGGGGGCAATGGCTTCCTCTGTGTGTGTTTACCTCCAACGCCAGCCATTGTTTACCTAAACACGGGCAGCTTTTGGTATGTGAATCCTACCTCAGTAGCGTGGTGTAAAACATTCGCAATAGACGTATGAGCAGCTATAAAATGACTTTCTCCGTGTCTGCCCTGCGCTGACTGACACCCGTCACAGTAAAGTCCGTCCAAGCTGCAGCCGCACGGGTCTCCAGCAGCCCCGTGGGAGCTGTGAAATCGCTAGCTGCAGTTAGCAGGAAGTCCCTACTGGGCTGTGAGAGGTGGCCACTCTTTGGGTATGGAGCCAGCACCTTGCAAGGAAATACAGCTGTCATACTGGGACTCCCTCCCTCAACTCTGAGGCCAGGACTAATTTTCAAGGACCTATCAAAATGTTGGGAGGGGGTGATACACACACACACCAACTTCAAAATATAAAAGCAACGAGCCCGAATTCATCGGCATTACACATCTAAGAGGGAGCCCCTGGGATGTCTGGGTTTCGGGCAGTCAATGCATCCAGGAGGGTCTGCAGCCCTGTATGGAATCTGCCCTGGGTGAAGAATTCTCAACGGTAAGGAGGTGGTTAAGGAAACATCACCAAGCGTGAATGAATTTCCTGCTAAAGAATTCCAGAAGTAAAATATGCAAAATTTTTAAAAATTAAATTGTCTTTAAAAAAGAATGTGTACTGAAGGTAGGCCACGGTGCTTTATAATATCTGGTGTGATGATCTGCGCGGCCTCCAAAAGGGAGAGCGCCCAGCCCAGCGGGGCCCTAGTGACACAGGCTGGGCGCCGCAGATGCAAGGCGGACTTCCTGGGGCTGCAAGTCGCGCTCTGGTCCCCAGGGGGCAGTGTCGTCTTTCCAAGACGAGGCCAGCAAAGGGCCGGGCAGCGTGGTTCTAAGCAGGTTTGCCTTCCTAGTTTGGGAGTTCCCATCACGATATGCCGCTCACCCCGTTGGCTGTGACATGGCAAGGGGGTCCTCGCCATGCTGTTTTGGACTTTCAGCTACCAGAATCCTGGGCCAAGTAAAGGTTTTGGTACCCAGGACTGAACCCAGGACTTTTGCCCTGAGCTACGTTCCCAGGCCTTTTAAATTTTAAAACAGGGTTTCACTAAATCCCTACATGATTCAGGTGAGCTCACATTGACAGTCCTCCTGCCTCAGCCTCCCAGTGTGCTGGGACCACAGGAGTGCACTACCACACCTGGCTTTTAATCCTCATTTCTTTATGAAGTGTCCAGGCTCGTGTATTATTATAGCAACACATAATGAACCGAAACACCAGAAATGTTCATTTTATTATCCACCATGTGACCACTATAAAATGAGATGATTACAGTCAGTTTTTGTGCTAAGCCTTCAAGGCCTACTGTGCTTTTCAGCCCTACTTCCATCCTGATGCAAAGACCCACAGCGCCTTCAGCGTTACCAAAACCAGCCTTGACACGACCCGCCGGCCCATTACCTTTAGGGATGGAGATCTGTATCTCCTTTCCCAGCCCAGAGCCAAGGTAGCATGAGCGCCAGGGCCAGGGTAACATGAAGTACCCTCTGCCTCCATGCACCGGGCCTCAGGGTCCCCTCATGAGACTAATGAGGACATCAGATTTGAAATAGAAAAAATAATGCCGGGTATGGTGGCACTTGTCTATAATCCCAGCACTTGGGAGGCTGAGGCAGGAGGATCGTTGCAAGTTTGAGACCAGCCTGGGCTACAAAGTGAGCTCAAAGCCAGCCTGAACTGCACAGTGAGATCGTGTCTCAAAAAAGACAATAAATAAATAAATAAATAAAATGAAATAGAAAAACAGGAATCAGACCTCTTAGCATTTTCTAAGGAGGCCTCCATCTTTCTAAAACGTGTATTATTTTTAAGAATATTGTAAGCAGTCTTTCATGGGCTGGGGATGTGGCTCAGTGGTAGCACTCTTGCCTTGCATGCACAAGGCCCTGGGTTCAATCCCACCACACACACACACACACACACACACACACACACACACACAGAGCTTTCTTTCAAATTCTACTTTCCAAATAACAGTTTAGTAACCACAGCAAACCAAGGACGATGGCCAGGACTTATTTTCTTTGAGACAAGTTCTTGCTAAACTGCTCCACGTGGCTTCACACTTGCAACCCTCCTGTCTCAGCCTCCTGAGTAACTGGGATGCATGTTATCTGCAATTACATGGATATTTCAGTCCCCTTACATTCAACATAGTTGCTGCCCCTCCCACCCCTGCCATTTAGAGAATGCAAGGAGGCAGCTCTGCGTCAGTATTTGTGGAGGTGCCGCTCAAGACCACTGAACGCCAAGGTTTCATCCTCAACCCGGAATTGATGAGGACAGAGGGCAATGGCGGCTGGTATCAGATACATGATAAATGTACACACACACACACGTAACACAAAACGGCACATTTGAATGATGCATTTGAATACATACTCTTTTCATGGCTCCATTTTGGTGGGGGGGCGTGTTGAGACCGGTTCTCACTATGCAGCGAGACCGACCTTCAATTGCAGACTGACTTTTAACTCGCTTATGTAGTCCAGGCTGGTCTCAAACTCAGTGGCAATCCTCCTGCCTCAGCTTCCTGAGTGCTGGGATTACAGATGTGTGCCACCATGCCCAGTGGTGGCTTCATTTTTTAAAGTGCCAGTTGCAAGAACTACATGGACTTCCCAACCTACCAGTGGGTCCTGATTTCATCTGGAAGATTCTGGTTTGGAGTGTGGGCAGTTTGGGAGCATGGGTTCTCTTGGTTTTTATGGACCCCTCCTCCAATGAAGACTCGAATTGTGAATGAGTGAAAAAAGTATCTCCTAAATCATGCCCAAAATGACCTATGGACCTTGTCAGGCAGCTAACACATGTCACCAAACTTTCCAGCGAGGTGTTTGTCCCTTGAAGAAACTTTGTTTTTCCACTTCCATTGTATTATTTCATGTTTCACTTTCACTACTTTGTTGTACCAATACTGCTTGGTACTGAGGATTCAGTGGAGGGCCCTCTTACCTAGAGCACCTGTCAAGTACCTGGGGTCAGGAGTGCAGTCGGGCACCTTTCAAATCCCTATCTACACCTCTTTTTGGCATCTTTCCATGTGACTGTCACCACTAAGCCCCGTGCCCACCACGAGTGGCCAAGGACGAAGGGTCACAAACAAGTAGTGGCAAAAAGCCTGGGAAAACCGAACGGAGAGCCTAAGCACAAGCTGAACGTATAGGACCACTGGGTGGAATCTAAGTAGTACACACGTTCACTGTAAAGTTCTTCCAATCTTTTTGTAAAATGTTAGAAAAAAGAGAAAGATCCCCATGTCTTCTGCATGAAGCTTATATCCCGCTCTAAATGAAAGCAGTTTTATTTTTAACAGGGAATAAAACAACGGCAAGACAGGGCCTTCTAGAGACGAGTCAAGGTTACACTGGTATCTTTTCGACTAGAAGATGCCATCAAATGACAATGCTTGCTGAGCACCTACTGCGTCAGCGTCAGTCCAGGCGCCGCAGAGACGGTGAGGTCCCCGGGGAGTCTGCATTTTAGAAGTGTGGAAGTACTTCCCGAGGTCACAAGTCCTGACTCGCCACTCACACACACGCAGCACCTCACGCCTGCGCTGTCGTGGCTCAGCTACGAGGACTCAGGTCCTGGACCAACAGCTTGCTCAGCCCTGGTCTCTGGCAGCCTAGGTCCAACCCTGGACTTGAGCAAATCCTTCCAACTCGTCAAGTACAGAAACAGCCCCTTGGCGATGTGGCACACACCTCCTCACCCCGACTTAGACTTGTTATTTTACCCTTTCCACACAGCCAGCTTGCAAAGGAGAAAATGAAACTTGGTATAAGGTAAAGGTGACAAGTAAGTTCCAACCTCAAATGAAAGTGGGCTGCAGAGAGTCAAGCTTGACTCTTCTCCCGGGGATCTTTCCTGCTTACTACATCTTCCCATACATGCAGGCTGTAAAGCCACACGGCTGACTCATAAAGGGAAGGGGAAATGAGCTATAAACACCTACGAAGTTCAGATTTTTCTAGTGCACCTGGCTTTCATCTCTAAAAACTAAATGCTCAGGCTGACAAACGGGCCAGGAGTTAGTGGGCCCGAATCCATTTAGGATTGACCAAAGCATGTAAACCACCGAGTGCAGGCAGTGTCGGCTAGCAGCAGATTTTATTGGGATCACTTTTTGGGAGTAGGCAAACATCGCTTACAAAATTACTGGTAAGATTTTTACATTCACCAAGTTCAGAGCTTACAAGCCAGCCCCAAACAAGGCACATGAAGCACAGGGTAAATTTACAACAGACCCAAACCTCAAATACTACATTGAGTCTCATCTTGGATACTTACCAGTTGGGAATTTCAACTGACATGAAGAGAAAGAAACATTCAAAATGACCACCGTGGGAACCCTGGCTCAAGAGCAGTTCCCATGCAGGAGACCTGGCTTCTCACTCGAAGGCCACCCAATTATCACCCACTTGGGGCTTCCAAGGGAACCCACAGAAGGCCTGTCACTCAGCAAAAGGAACAGTCCCCACTTCAGTGACGGAGCTGGAAACGCAGGGGACGCTCCAGCTGGGAATGAAGGAAGCAAAAGAGTAACACTTCAAACTCCGCCTGCCAAAGTGTGACGGGGCCAAGACATGAGACATGGCAGAAATAATCACAGCTCAGAATTCCTTCACTCGTAGGGCGCAAGATTTCTGCGAAGGGGCCTGAAATCCCAACTCAAAAGCCAGTGCTGAGCAGGATGACCACTTCCGGGACCACGGGGCAGGGCACCGGGGAGAACAAAGGGCGCCACCCGGCAGTCTTTAAAATACTTTATTACAAAATACAGTACAGGGCTCACACACGGTTTTCCAATACTCCCACAGAAACCGCCAACGAAGCACTGCCCAAGCCCCGCGCTGCCCAGCAGAATCTAACCTCTGCAGTCCTTTCAGTCCCCTCAGAGCTACAGGAGAACTGCAGCAGGCAGTGGAAGGGAGCGGCAAGTGGCCAAGGACGGCCCGCTGACGGCTGACCAAGGACACCATTTCCTCCCGTCCACGGCTGGCAGCCACCAACGGCTGGGGCAACATCCAGAGAGATGAGGCATCGTGGAGTCCTAACTCCTCACAACCCACAGGTCTCAGGCCTCTACTTCTTATTCCTGGGCTTTAGCTCTTCAGCTGCATTACGTAGGAAAATGTAATTTTTCTTCTGAGGATTATAAAATTCATGTCCCTAAAGAGGAAAAAAACCCCAAAGATTGTATTATTAAAAAGAGCAATTATGGGCACTTTTTATATGGTGACTCTTTTTTTTTGTACCAGGAATCAAAGGACCTTGTGCTCGCCAGACAGGCGTTGAGCTGCTGAGCTATATCCCCGGTCCTTTATATGATGGCTCTTACACTAAGCGCTTGAAGCATAGCATTCTTGGCAGAAACAAAAAACAGAGTGAAGAAAAACAAAAGCCAAATGTTAACAAAAGCCTGAGTTCTCAGAGAATAGGCGAAGGGGCACAGCGGGCAGCCGTGTCCTGCTGAGGGCTGGTTTCTTCCGGCCTCTCGGACCTCAGTGCCCAGGTAACTGTCACGCGTGTGCCCCACAGCCTGCTGAGCCCTCCCCTGCGTGTCCCTTCCCCTCTCCCAGCGCGGCCCTCTAGCTCACCAGGCTCCCGTGCCCCAGAGCAGAGTGCAGCTGGTCAGTCCACACTAACCTCCATAGCGTCATGAGGGGCCCTGCTGTGTCCCTTACAGGGAAGTGACACACAGCCAGTCAGAGAAGCTGAAGCCCAGGGCGCTGGCCCCGGAGTGTGGCTCCGCCTTGGTGTGCCTGAACAGGCAGGCCCAGGGATCCTCACCTTGGACCAGTCGTAACTTGACGCGTAGGCAAATATGTTGCCGTTGTGATTGAAGCAGCATGCCGATATTGGCTGGTCTAACTGTTCCGAGGTTTTGAGCTTTGTTCGGGCATCTTTGTCCCAGAAGCTGAACCTACCATCGGATCCCACGGTCGCGAGGGTGCCGTGAACAGGGTGGAAGGAGATCCCGTTCACCTGCAAGCGTTGACGTGCACAATGAGAGGCAGAGGCGGAGACACGCCGGGAAGCAGACTGCTGCCAACATTTGCTGCAGGAGTCGGGAAACAGACGCGACTCCAGTGCACTCCCCGCCGTGCTCCCTGACCTGCCTTCCGGCCCACAGTAAACCCTGCCTCTCACGCACACAGGCAGCGAGCTAAGGTGTGGGTGCGGCTGGCACGGCCAAGAAGCATGCCTCAGGACTTCCTTTTGCTCTTTTAGTGAGCACCAAGTCCTCAGTCCTAGCTATGAATGGAAACTCTACCAGCACTCACGAAGAAGGTAGAACATGCTCCCAAGGTCATAGGGTTCATTCCAAAACAAACCAAGAACAAAACCAGTCACAACACTAGAAAGGACGGAAAAGTAAAACCCACAGCATGAGCCCTGTCTCCAGACATGCACACACAGGCTCTCCCCTGGCTCATTGTTTCTGATCCTATAATCACGCTGAGAGCTGCCTCATCTCCAAGTCCAGCTCCTGTACACACCGGGTAAAAGCAAAGCTTCTAAGAACATACCGCATAGATGTCCTGAGGAGCCGAAGTGTTGGTTCCATTGGATCGATGACATTTAAAGGTGAAGTTATCCTTGGCGCTGAAAAAGAAAGGTCCAACTGAGCTTCACTTTTTAAAAAATTAAGTCTCAGTGAAAAATTCCAGTTGGCTGAGTCCCACTTACGGATTTGGGGGGTTGATGTAGTGAATAGCAACTCGCCCCTCAATACTCCCCAGGGCAAAACCAGTCGGCTTGTTCTGTTTGTCTTTAAAAATAGCCACACATCGATGCTACAGTTAAAGAAAGAGAAGTACATTACAACAATGCAAATGCAAGACTAGTTCATGTGAAAGCAAGTAACTGTTAGCCCCTTTCAGGTTTTAGAAAAACCACAAGCATTACGTACGTACACGTGACAAGATGGTTTGGCTGTGACTGTGACGAGCCACAGCCTGCTGACCTGTCCCTCTAGTCTCCAGTTGAGCCTCCTCGCTCTGCACGCTGGAGGCCGTGTCCACCCCAGCAGAGCAGTGTGTGCCCCAGAGCCCTTCTGGCTGCTCGGCTGCCCAGCACTTGTGAGGCGGGCACCCCAGATCCCCCACAGTCTGTCTCTCCGCTCAGCAGGGAAGCAGTGTGAGCCAAGCCGGTACCACAGGCAAGGAGGGCGAAGCATAAAATGGACAGGTCGGTGCTTCATAAAGAAGGTCGAGGTGAACGCAAGTAAGAGCAACGTTCCAGTCTCTACTTCAGTGAAGGTGCACATTGTAGGCGTCACACACAAACGGAACCCGTGCTTCCTCCTGTGCGGGCTCACTTCCCGTACTATCACCTTCTCCAGGTTCCGTGTTGCTGAACGTGGCAGGACTTTCTTCCTTTTTACGGGCTGAATAGTGTCATAGTACATACGTATATGCATCTTACCAGTGAACACTGAAATTAACAAAGGAATCCACTTCTCTCCTCAAAATGTAGATTTTGACTTTCCTAGATAAATACCTAGCTGGGTATTGTGGTGCATGCCTGTAATCCTAGCACTTGGGAAGCTGAGGCAGGAGGATCACAGAGTTCAAAGCCAGCCTGAACTACATAAAGGGACCTTGTTTCAAAAAAACCCAAAAAACAAGAAACAAAAAAGATGAACACCCAGGAGAGCTGCTACATCCTATGGTGGTCTTATTTTTAAGGTTTTCGGGAGTCTCCATACCATTTCCTGTAACAGCCACAGGACTTTGCACTCCTCTAACAGTGCACAGGGCTCTGACCTCTCTGCAGCTCTGCACCCGGATGCTTCCCTTTCCCCAGGGCTCTCCCTGGCACCGCCCCAGCGCCACCCTCCCCTGCCAGTTCCTCCCCACAGCGCCTGCGGACTCCCGTCCACTTGGGCGTCCACACTGGACACCTAGGAGCCAACGCAGATTCACCGCTCCTTTCTTTCTTCTTCATCTCATCAGGCTCCCTCACGTCCACATGGAAAACGTTTCGAGTCTGTTCCCTTCTCTCTCTCCCTCCCCCGCCACGTTACTCCAAGGCCTCTCAGCGCTCAGTCCAACACCCCATGACACTGATCTCCCAACTCTTCTGGGACAGGACAGCAAAAGCACAGGCAACACAAGCAAAGACAGTCAGGTCTGGTGTGCAGTCCTGCTGGGCTCAGGCCTCGGGGAGAAACACAAAGGAGCTGCAGAGCCGCTGGGCCTGCAGCTCCAGGCTGAGGCTGTAGGAGGCCAGGTTCCTGCAAAGGAAAACAGTCTGCCCAAACAAAGACAAGCAGGGAGTCGACCGTGAGCTTTTTCTGAGGAGGAGCTAACCCGACCTGCAGAGACCACGGCTGCGGAGGATGAGAAAGGCCCAGTAGTCCTGTGGCAAGTGGAAGGCTGAACTGAAGAGAAAAACCTCACAGCCAAGTTCACGTGACCAAGGCAGAATTAAAGCTGGAAGTGACAAATTTACAACAACAGAACCAATCCATGGAGATGTGTGACTTTTCCACATTTGGCCACCAGGGGGACGCGTGGTAAGGACAGGTAAGTCGGCCTCATGCACAGACAGCAGCACCTACTCACTAAGCACTGTCTCCTTAAATCCCCTGCTCTGAGAACTGGCTTTTCCGGGGCAACTGCAGCCCCTGTGAGCACCACCGGGCATACAACAGCTGCTGGCCACACGCTTCTCGGTGGACTCCGACTCACCTGGTGCTTCAGCGGAGACTCTATCCTCCGGAATTCGGAAGGGTGATTTTCTAGCTGGTAGACAATCAGACCCCTCTCTGCTGTTGCCACTACGGCCATTGGGTATATCTAGGGAATGGAGGAAAACAGACACACTTGAACAGTAGACTTTTTTTTGTATCAAAGAGTTAGACCCGTTTTTTTTTGGTGCCAGGAATTGAACTCAGGACCTTGTGCTTGCCAGGCAGGCGCTGCACCATTGAGCTATATCCTCAGCCCTAGATCAATTTTTTTGTTGTTGTTGTTTCTGGTACCGGAAATTGAACTCACAACCTCACGCTTGCCAGGCAAGTGCTGTGCCGCTAGCTAAATCCCCAGTCCCCCAGGTCAATTTTTAACTCACAAAATTCTTCGTTTAATAATTCAATGACAGCAACATGTTTCATAAAAACCTGGAGAAACTGTATTGGAAAGTAGGACACTCAAAATAGACTTATCTTTTTTTAAACTATAAAATATGTGACTCTTTATAAAATATTCTGAGGAACTGAGAATAAAATCACCCATACACGACAATGATGGACATGATGGTGTATTTTACTCTCTTTTTCCGATCATTCTGTGTATAAACACTTCTGTATAATTCATGCCCTGTACTCAAACCATGTCGCGTGAGCTCAGCCCATTCTTCACTTTTCCGAGAGCACCACCGTGGCTGCCCAGTACTCCCTCCAATGAGCCTACCTCAGGGGCACAGGCTCACTTAACCCTGTCAGCTCACTTCCAGGGTCCCACTACGTTACATCAAGCAACACCACCTGTGCCCAGCATTTTCTGAAGATGAATTCCTCAAAGCGGAATTACCGGGACAGCTGACAGAAAACTTTCAGACTATGACTAAACAGATGGAGAAAGCTCTTTAGTTTCCACCCTGTTACATTCACAGTCTCAAAGACAAGAACCACATCACAAAATATGCAAGTTTTCCTACCACAAGATAAATGTTACACTAGGGATGATGTAGCTAGCTGCATTTGGTCACACAAGTGACCAAAAACACCAGCAATTAGCAATTCTGGAATAAATGCAGTCCTCAGACCCTCTAGGACAACTAGGGCACACTGGATTCCTTCTACTAACATTGCTAGGGGTTTTTACTTTTGTCTTTTTGAGACAGGGTCTCGCTATGCAGTTCAGGCTGGCCTTGGGCTCACTTTGCAGGCCTGGCTGGTCTCGAACTTGCAACAATCCTCCTGCCTCAGCCTCCTGATCCTGAGGGGTTTTTAGATTACCCACTTCCTGCAGAGTGTCATAGGGATAATGTTTATTCTGTATTTTAGAAGGAAATGACATCCCTTACCACGTCAGCACAGTAACACCTTTCAGGGAGCTGCAAGACCATCATAGGATTTGATGACCGTGTATCCCAAAACTGGAAGCAAAAAGGAGAAGCAGAAAGTGACTGTTCAGAGCTGCAATCTACACGAGGTAAGAAAAATGTCCACCTTGATCAGGCCACACAAGGTTTGCATCACACGTTATACCTTCAAAGTCTTATCCCAGCTCCCGGTCATCACACAGCTGTAGGTTGGAGCCTTGATCCAATGTATAGTTTTAACAGGAGCATCATGCTTTCAACGGGACAAAAACAAACAGATCAATGTAACAGTGTGCTAGTTTAGTTCTACATTCAAAAAAGGGAGAATTTAAATACTATTATCACAGCCAAACAAAAAACAAAAAAAAAACCCAAAGGTATTTCAGTGTTTCCCCATGACCAAAAATACTCAACATGACAGAATATACATCTACTTCCCTTCTAACAAACTCTAATTTGACTTTTACTCACAAGACAGTAAGCCCCTCCCTGGGGGAATACTCAAAACTAGCGAAGAGCTGCACCAATTTATTTACCAAGGAGACACAAATTCAGGTCAGGGAGATGCTACCATCACACGCCATGATCAGTGTACTAGCACAGGGCTGGTTTCAGAGCACGCGATGCTGCTCTGGAAATGTGTCTGTGTCAAGAGGCTCCCCCGCAACAACCCCCAAATACCGAGGCCCTCCAGTTGCAGGCTCTCTCCTCGCCACTTCTGCTTCCCAGTACTCGCTGCATGCGTGCTGGCTGTGGTGGCTGGCTGGACTATCAAAGCTCTGTGGGTGTGTGGGGAAAGCCCCCTTACTCTCTTCTGTATTTCTAGCCCCTGATGACAGTGCCTAGCACAGGGCAAGCATTTAGTAAACATGCTGAAGAATGAGTGACCCAATCCAGCCAGGAAAAGGCAAGTCGCACACAATGCTGGGACTCAAACAAGTGAACGTCAAGGTTAAGCCACAGCACCTGACCCATGCCACGCATACACATAAGAAAGACCTGAAAGACAAATGCTCTGTGAAACACTACAAAAATGAGAATGGCTATAAAGCTGGTGCCATTTTTACTCTAATGAGGTCTCTGGCACACTTAAGTGACTTGATACAGGCAAACTGCAATTTGTCAACAGTAGAGAATTATTATAGTCAAAGAATGATCACAAGCCTGATCCTGCTTAGCTGTTTTGCAGAGGGCTTAGTCACCTGTGCAATCTGTATTGCTTGGTTACTGTTGAGGTCCCACATTTTGGCAGTTTTGTCACACGATGCTGTAAATACTTTGCTTCCATCCTAGAGAGAAAATTTGACATTCTAAGGAAACAATCTCTACACAAGCGTTCATATATTAAGTTGAACTATGTGTTCTGCAATTTTTATTATTCCAATTAGATGGAGGCCAGTGTATTGTAAACTAGTCATGAACAAACATTTCAGGTGTATATTTTATGAATTTACTAAGAGACGTCTACAAAAAAATGAGTAACACTTTGGAGTCATATAATGAAATTGAAGCCTCTCTCATCCCTGATTCTAGTTTTTTCTCAAAAGCAACTTTGGGCCACTTAAAAAATTTTTTTCTTCTTTTGATAAAATTTAATCCTTCAATAACTGCTGGTCCTATCTAAGCTAACGCAACTTTAAAAATAAGCAGTCATTGTGTAATGGCATTGAAGTCTAGTGTAGAACTCATAAAGCAAGCACACCATCACTGTAGCTTGAAAGCAGCCATACACATCATGTGATTGTGTGTGGCTCCATTCCAATAAAACTTTATTTAGTAGAAAAACAGGCCACGGGCCCAGTTTGCTACACAGCCATAGTTTACTAAGCCCTGGCTTACTTTTCAGAGCTCAAAAGCTCAACACCCCCCACACCAATATTTGAAGCTACAGTTTTCCACCTCGAAGAAGAGTTTATGCCTGCTCCTCCCTCCACTGATGAATTTACTGGGACAATGCCACAAATCCTTGTAACACAGCAATTTAACTACTAGAAGGCTGGGCAAACGGTGATGCCTCCTACTGAGGAATACTGCTCAGCCACAGGGACAGACTACTGACACACACACCACTGGGCTTTAACGCACTGTGCTGAGTAAAAGAAGCTAGTCTCACACCCTCCGTCCTATATAGGATCCCATCTTTACAGCAGTCCTGTAAAGCATAACTCAGGGACAGGAAACAGATGAGTGGCTTCCAGGGCCTGGGAGTCAGGATCTGACTGCAAAAGGGCAGGAGGGAATTTGGGGCCGGTGATTTGTTCTACGTCTTGAATGTGACTCTGTGTGTTTCTCAAAACATAGAACCATACACTAGAAGGTTCAGTGTGACTGCATGCGTAATAAAGGCCTCATAAATAAAATCTAACTAAAAAATAACCCAGTAACACTTGACTGCATAAAGAAGGGTACAAAGCCTCAGAAGGGGCCTGGAAGCTGAGATCATGGCACATCTGTCTCTTGCTTCTGCTGGGCGCAGCCAGGAGGTAGCAGTGCCAGGGGGAGGTGAGACCAGACGCTGTCCTCCCCCAGCACTCTGCTGCGAGCTGCAGCCTCTGCACAGTTCCAGGAGGGCCGCAGGTGCCTCGTCCAGCTTCCCTGCCAGCCTCTCTGTGAACAGTCACTTTACCACCACGCTCTTCTCAACCAGGGGAAAAAACAGAGCAGGGGGAAAAAAAGGAGGAAAATCTCAGATGTTCAGGATTTGGGGAAGAAAAAAAAATAATAATAAAAATAAAAACCACTTCAAATGTCTGATGTAGTGGTACTTATAACTTAATTGGTTCCACGAGATGCAGTAAGTACCAAAAATGACAAGTACCAAATAAACTGTTTTGGCTGGAAGGAGTAGGAAGTCATGCAGCAATTGACACCAACACGTTCCAGCCTGTACTTCAAGTACCAAACAAACGACAAGCGTGAGGACAAAATTTTCTGTTGTTTTTTTTTTTTTTTTTCGAGACAGGGTCTCGCTATGCAGTGCAGGCTGGCCTTGAGCTCACTTTGTAGCCCAGGCTAGTCTCAAACTCATAACGATCTTCCTGAGTGCTGGGATTATAGGTGTACACCACCATGCCTGGTGATGACAAAATTTTCACATCAAAATCAAGTACTAAGACACAAGTTTCAAAGCACTCAAATACCAAGGTATGATGGTAAGAGAAATGTATCTCTTTTTCCCCCTATGGGATTTTCTGATAGTAAAAATTTCTAATTTTAAAACAAAACTTTATCTGGGTGTAGTAGTACACTCCTGTAATCCCAGCATACTATGAGGTGGAGATCGAATGGTGACAAGTTTGAACCCAGTATGGGCTACTTAGTGAAACCTGTATAAAAACAAAAAATAAAGTATTCGAGATACAGCTCCATGCCAGCATCCTGGATTTAATCTCCAGTACTGCAAAATAAAAATTATAAATATAAATAGAAAACAACAAAGCTCATGGTGTATTTAAAGGCAGGGGTTTCAAGAAGTTGTATAATCCTTTGCCTAAAAGGTCAATAAAATCGTGGATTTTTTAGACACAAGAAATGCTTTCACAGAGATTATCTTACTTAAGTTAACATTAAGAGTATCAATAAACTACTGTACTCTTATTAAGAAATTTAGAATTCCTACAATGTGGGTACACATACTATATAGGTCAAGCATCCTTAATCCAAAAAATTAAAATATTCCAAATTTTTTTTTCTCTTGTTTTTTGAGATAGGATTTTGTTATATGGTTCAGGCTGGCCCTGAAGTCAGTATGTAGCCAGGCTGGCCTTGAACTTGAGGTGATCCTCCTTCCTCAGCCTCCTGAGTGCTTGGATTACAGGCATGTGCCACCGCACATGGCAGTATCCCAAACTTTTTCAGTGCCATCCACCACTCAACCAGCTAGATACACTCAAACAGTGAAGTCTATGTAAAATATTCCCCAATCTGGCAATTTCAAAATCTGACACACTTCTGGTCTTAGGCATTTCAGGTAAAGGGGCACTTAACCTCCATCTGTATTCAGGTTACTAATTATTCGGAATGACACAGTACTTCAAAGCAGAAAAGAACATTAGAAATGGAGGGAGGCGTACGTCGCTCCAGCAGACATCGAGGACAGGCCCAGTGTGCATCTGCTGGGCTTTTGGAATGGTCTGCCCATTGTCCTGGACTTCCCAGCAGCGAACCTGTGAGAGCGAGATGAGTCAGTGCAAGCCAAGCAATTCACGGTGTCTCTCATCCCCAATGGGTGCCACCATGTACTACTAGTCAAAGAACCAAGACTGGAGTGGACACTTGCCTTTCTATTCTGAATGATTTAGTTTTTTATCGCTTCCTATCTATAAATGTATTTTACTTAAGGGATCCTTTAAATGTAAGAAAACAAAACAGAACAAAACAAACTCAGCTTCTACCAGACACCCAGGGTTCACAGTTCCTGGTGGCTTCAATCTCCCTTCAATGTACCCACATTTTCTTGAAAAACTAGGTTATACAGCATCTTTACTTTGCAACCACAGCTTTTCTCACTTGTACCACTATTCTATTCATTTTAAAATATTTTTCAAACATTTAGTAGCAAATCAAATAAAATCTTTTGGAAACTACAGAGAAAGCAAGGTTGCTCAACCCTGATTCTTTCCTCCCTGTTCTCCCCCTGTCCTCCTCTCTTCCCTTCTCTGCCTCCCAGCTGCAGGCCAGTTGGAAATCTTTTCTGAGAACATTCACAGTGGCATCCCATCACATGAACACATCACAAATAACCACTGCTTTTGAATACTGCGACTTTCGTACTCTCACTAGCAGAAAGTCATCTGCAACACCAGACAGTGGCCAGGCACACACCCTGAGCCTGGCAGTGCAGATCTGTACCCAGCCTCAGCATGCAGATACAACCTGGGCTATCACTGCACGTCTCCACACCTTAGAACCCTGCCTGGTAACATGGAGGTGGCAGGAAGTTCTTTAGCTTTGCAAAGATGAATTCAGGTAATACATAAAAAGTAGCTTAGCACATCTCTGCAGTCCCAGAAGAATCAATGAGAGAAAGAGCTTAACGTTAAGGATGTCTGACAGATATTGCTAATTACTCTCCAGAAAAAAAGGTTCCATTTTATTTTTATTTTTTTGGTCTTTTTGAGACAGTCTTCTTATGCAGTTCAGGCTGACCTTGAGCTCACTCTGTAGCCCAGGCTGGCCTCGAACTCGAAAGTATCCTTCTGCCTCAGCCTCCCCAGTGCTGGGATTACAGGCATGCGCCACCACGCCCGGCTCTAATGTTCCAATTTTCATGCCTACCAGCAATACAGGTTTAAGTTTTTAAACCTTTTGTTAATTTGATTCAAAAAAAGTCTATCACATAAATCTGCCTCTTTCTGACTACGCATGTGGCTGAATAGTTTCAGTTTACTGTTTATGAAGTATCTCTTCACATCCTGTGATAATTTTTCCACCAGTTTTTATACCCTATAACTAATTCTTCTATACCTACATAATGAGAAATTATAATGACCACCCAAGACTTGTGTGATTGTCCAAAGTCTAAAAAGTTGAACAAATACCTGAAGAATATTTTCAAGATACCAAGAAAGGAAATCAGTGTACACCATCATGGGTAACATCCTTTTCAAAGAAGACCAATCTGGTTTGGGAATACTCTACAAGATACTGGACTAGCAATGGATATATGGTATCTCCACTCAGGAGGGCTCACAGCCTCTAAATTGGTTTCTTGAAAAAGGCCATGTATCAGCCTTAGCTCGGATTCATTTACTTGGCACAGAATGGAGCTAAAGGGCAAGGTAACCTTGCCCACACAGATGCATGATTGACAGAAGGTGCCCTTAGGAAGCACTTACATCATTGGCCCATGATCCTGCAATAAGAAAGTTCCCCGGCAAGGTTGGTGGGCTGAATGATAGACACCCGATGCTGTCATCAGGAGAAGATGTTACTTCAATATCCTGGGAAGGGAAAACCAGTGTTAAACCATACACGTCATTACAGCGTCAAAACTGCTTTCTCTCTCACTAAAGTATCAGGATGGACTTTCCTTGTCTCAAACACTGAACGAGACTTTTCCTCACTTTGAGCAAAGGGAGGAGTAATAAACAAGTCAAGTAAAGTACTAGCACTACCGGGACAAGAAGCAGACTCTAAATTAAAGGCCCAAAGCCGTGTTTACTGCCCACCAGTTCAGTCCTGCCTTCAGTGCTTGGTCCCAGTTACCGCCTGCCCTCACTCTCCTCTACCACGGAAACCCTGATTCTGCTGTCCTTCAGGGGAACTTTCAGGAGCACCTTCAGTGATTCTGGAGACCTGGCAAGTCAGGAAGAGTGGGGCATTCTCCGAGAGCCAGGTACTCCCGAGCTCCAGGCCTTCAGAAAGTATGGCTAGACAAAGTTTCAAACCTTTATGCCAAAGCCAGCTCCCAAGCCATCCCTTTTTCTCTTCCTGCCGCAGTAGGAAACTCTGGCCTGAACTCGTTCTACAAACCCTGTGCAGCTTTGTGTGGTACCTTCATAGGGTTGTGATTATCTGTGGTCGTACTGCCAAACATGCTGGTCCCACCAGTTCCAAAACCGGAGGTTGTTCCAAACAGACTCATTTTAGCTCTAAAAATAAAGTGGAAAATGTTAAGGGCAGCTCCTTTCTTAAGTAACACATATCAGTGAGATCCAATATAAAAATACTAAGCCCCAGAACAGAACTGCTCTAGGCTTCTCTCTTTAGGATCTATATTAATAGTAAGCAATTTCTTATTTCAGAACAGGTTTGCATTTACAGAAAATTGAAAAGACAGGAGAATTCCCATATTCTTTGTATCTAGTTCCCCTACTAATATATTAGTATGATAGATTTGTCATCACTAATGAGCCAATACAGATACACTATAGCAGAGTATTTTTTCAGTCACCAGCTAGGAAATAAATTTGGTGTTTCTTTACATAGCGTGAAACACTCAGCTATACAACAGAAATACAACAGTAAAAAAAGGTCCTCATGTAGAAGTTCACGTTCTTATTTTGGCACTCTGGTCTCTGCATGCAGTTAGTTAAAAAAACCACCAGTTCTAACAGAAATTCACAATTTCTTTTTTTTTTTTTTTGGGGGGGGACAAGGTTTCACTTTGTATTTCAGGTTGGTCTTGACCTCACTATGTAGCTCAGGCTGGTGCCTGCTAATCACATCCCTCCCTCAAATGTACAGATGCACTCAAAACACCAATTGGCTACATGATTGAACAAGCAAAAGAGCAACAGAGCTTCTGCAAGAAGAGTCCAGAAACCAATTAATCTGTGGCTCTGGTCATGTTATTTAGTTGTGATCCTCTCACCTACAAAATAGACACTAATACGGACTTCACAGTTATGAGGACTAAGCGAAGGTCTTGCATACAGTGCCTGAGACACAATCAGTTTTTTGTTTGTCTGTTTGTTTTGCAGTACTAAGGATTGAACCTAAGGACTTGAATAAGCTAAGTGTTCTACCACTGAGCTGCATCCACAGTCCTTATTTAATTTCATTTTGCGACAGGGTGATCCTCCTGCCTCAGCTTCCTGAGTAGTTGGGATTTAAAGTGTAGGCCACAAGCCTGGCTCAAAATAGGTTTTTGGTCATTTCTCTTACACCCCCTACCCCAACCTTCATGTTGCCACTAGAGATGAACCTGCAGGGCCCTAGACAAAGGTCAATGAAGTAGCAACCAACTAGTGTGCATCACACATCGTGCTGCAGGCACTGAGGAGCTCCAAGCACCTTCCTCTTCTCTCCCTCCTTACTGCACTCCTCTACTGGGTGCTTTAGCTCAAGCTAACCCCTCTCCCCCATCTTCTGATCCCAGTTCAAAAGTTGCCTCCTCCGAACCTTTAGGAGTGGTGGAAATGTACTAAAGCTGCACTGCAGTGACATTTAGACAACTGTATAAAATTTCCCAAACTCATCAAAACATGCACCTTAACTGGGTGGATTTAACGTTATGTAAGTTATACTTTGATAAAGCTGTCAGGCTTGAATTTTTTTTTTTTTTTTTTTAAAATCTCCTTTGAGGCTTCCCTAACATCCAACCTTCCATCACCCCGCTCCTCCGTTCTCTTCACTACAATTTCCTGTTTACAAGCTCTGCAGTGTGTGGAAGCGCACGCCTGGAAATCCAGCTCTAGAGAGGCTAGGCCGGGGGCTGGGGATTTAGCTCAGCGCACAGCATCCGCCTGGCAAGCGCAAGGTCGTGAGTTCGATTCCCGGTACTGGAAAAAAATACAAAAAAACAAAAAACAAAAAACAAAACACAAAAACGGCTGGGCCAAGAGGACTGGTTCGAGTTCGAGGCGAGCCTGGTCTATATAGTGAGTTCAAAGCCAGCCTGAACTGCAGAGCGAGGCCCTGTCTAAAATAAGAAAAAGAAAGAAAAGAGAAAAATGCAAGCTCTTCCCCGAGCGCGCTCGCTCCGGGGGGCGCTCTGCGGACTCCTCCCTTAAGCACCCCCGGCCGCGGCCCAGCGCCCGCCGCCCTGGAGCCCGTCTGCGGAAGCGCGTCCACACGCGCGCGTGCAAGAACCGATCACACACTCAATCTGGGGCCGGTGAGTCCCGAAACTGCTAACGGGGAAACAGGACCGGACCGAGAGACTGCTCCGAGGCGGTGACGTGCGTCTGAGAAGCCAGGCGGACGAGGACGGACGGAGGCGACAAACGTCGACGTGAACGCGGCGTAACCCTGCCCGAGCCTCAGTTTCCCCACAAGAACGACAAGATCAGACCCGCAGGGCCCCTTCCAGCTCGGACCTGTCTTCCGGCTGTGCCTAGGAAGCCCCGCCGCCAGGCCCGCTCGCTCCCCCGCGCCGCGCAGGGAGGCCACCTCCGCAGGGGGCTCTGCCCTCCGCCGGCGCCATGACGGCGGGAAGGAGGGTACGCGCACGGGCCTACCTGAGGGTCGCGCCGCGGCGGGACGGCGGCGGCGGTTAGCAGGAAGGAAGGCGAAGCCCGCACACTTGCTCTGGCGAGGAAGAAAAAAGGGCGAGACGGTGGGGCAGGAACCCCAAGCACTGGGGCGGAGGGGGGGGGGGGTCTCTTCAAACCAGTAACTGAAACTGCCCAATTACCGCGGAAACAGGGCGCACGCGCCCTCAAACCACTTCCGGCGTCGCCCGGAAGGCGTCGTAAAAGGCTCCGCCTTCCGTTTGGCGGTGACATGCGCAATAGAGATATTGGTGTTAAAAGGAAGTCCTTCTGCCAGCAGTTTGCGAATTGGTGGAAAGTTGCGGCGGGTTGTTAAGCAACTACTTCTGTCCATTCGCAACTCAGGCTTGCGAAAAGTGGAGTTTTCGTTTTAATAGTTGTCATATTTGACGTGTTTAAACCTTTAAAAAATCTTATTACTGCCAATTCGGAGGAGCTGCCTTTCAGCCAACTAAGGCGCCCCGACCCTCCCCGGGGGCTCCTGGATCCCTCAGGTTTCCTGCAGCGCTTGTGGGGATAATGATACCTAACTTGCCGGGGGTTCCTCATTAGGTTAAGTGAAATCACATGCGAGCGCCTCTTGCTCCATAGTGAGACTCTATCTTAAAAAACAAAACAAACAAAAAATAAAATAAAATAAGAGAATCAACAGAATTTGTAGCCGTGGATGTGATTATTGAGTCATACTGTATAGATAAAAACATAATTTAAAAATAGAAAATATTTGGATCTTGATTTTGGCTGTGGATGTATTCACGACAGTAAACTTTTCTGTCATTTTTTACACATGTGGATATTCATGACTGATCAGTTTATATTTCTTTTGTTTTTTGTTTTGTTTTGTTTTGTTTGAGACAGGGTCTCACTATGTAGCCCAGGCTGGCCTCAAACTCGTGTCGATCCTCCTGCCTCAGCTTCCCAAGTGCTGGGTTTATAGGTGTGCCCCACCGCGCCTGGTTTTTATTTCATTTTTAAGTGAATAAGGTGTTTATAATTTTAGTATCGATTACTTTTCATTTGAAGTGATGTTTAATTTTGAAATTTTATTTAAAATGCTTTAATATGTCAGCATACATTTTTGTGAGCAGTGTGATTGAAAAGCGTACATATTACTGGTAACGTCACAGAGAATTGGGGCATCTAACACAGATTCTTGTCATGAAGCACTCAGCCTCATATAAAAATCCTCATTGTTTTCTTTTCTTTCTTTCTTTCTTTTTGTGTGTGTGTCTTTTTGAGACAAGGTCTCACTATGCAGTGCAGGCTGGCCTTGAGCTCACTTTGTAGCCCAGGCTGGCATTGAACTTGCAACAATCCTCCTGCCTCAGCCTCCCGAGTGCTGGGCTTACAGGCGTGCGCCACCATGCCTGGCCTCCTCATTGTTTACTGCAACCTTTTTTGTATGTGTGTTTTAGAATCTTTTGCCCCAATTCTCTATAAAAAAAATCTTAAGGAAATTTCACCCAAAATAGCGGAAGGAATTGAAAGAACAGTGAACTTCTGCCAGCAGAGGGCAGACTTGGCTTTTTTATGAGAATTTTTTGGGGATGGGAAGGAGACAGACCTTGGAGAGCAGAATCCACTGAACCAGTAGAAGTTAAGAGCTGCTCAATAATGTACTACAAAAGCATTCCGCTCGGGACAGGGATATAGCTCACAATATAAGTGCGTGCCTGGCAAGTGCAAGGTCCTGGGTTCGATTCCTGGTACCAAAAAAAAAAAAAAAATCCACTGAAAATATTGTAATGTACATGTACACGCAGCTTAGTTTTGAAAGCATCTGTTTCTTTCAGCACCATTGAACCAGTACCTACATCAAACTAACAGTTCAGCTGAGAGACATTCATGAAGGAAGCCATGGGTGGGAACTGGGGGTTTTCTGCCTATTTTTGAACAAAATACACGATGTCTTTTTTCATGAAATAGTAACTTCTGAAATCACTTAGCATCATCCAGGGTGACAGTTAAATTTCCCAGAAAACTGGATATTACAAGCAGCTTTTATTTTATGAGGGTCATTATGAACCCTTAAGGAAAACCAAGACCCTCTGAACATCTTTCTGTTGTACTAGTTTCTATTTCTGTTCATTTTAACTATAAACAGATTCCAGTCCAATATTCTTCATAGATTAAAATATGGAAGCATTAAAAATAGATAAAAGAGATGACAGTAGAAAGGATATCTGTTGTCAGTTGTTATTTTAAATTGCTATTTTACAGTAATCTTTTGCAAATAAATTTTATGATTAGAATTCTAGATGGATCCCAAATACCTAGTAGAATTACATTTTCATCTGCATCCAATAAACATAGGAAGAAAAGCCAAATTGTAATGTATGTTGCTCTCTCCATATTCATTTCCCAAATAATGGAAAATTATTTTAAGTAAATTTCCAATCATAAGCTTTAGATGATTTAACTGCACACTATTTTCAAATGTTTTTCCAGATATCAATGACTTGTAGATTTGTTATTCCCTCCCATTTTTGACAGTGTACCCTAGTCCAGATGTTTGCTGGGTTAAACATATTTCTAATGTAGTAACTTCCTCTTTGTTACATGTTGAGAGATTAAGTACGGGAGAAGTGTAAAGAGAAACTTTGTGATGTATAAATCTTATTTAGAATTTTTGCTGGTCTCACGAGTAAGTCCAATTAACAGCATGCCGGACAGAATGTTTTCAAGATAAAATGTTTAGTATCTTTGTGTCCATGGAACATAATGTATTTGTTAACGTCACAGGTGTGGCACCAGGACACTTTGATTTGGCACCTAGCCAACAAGATGCAGACCTTCCTTTAGCAGTGTGTGTACCAGCCCACATGTGCAGCATTTTGCACACACTGATGTGAGATACAGACGCTCAGGTTTAAATTTAGTTATGTGACCTTGGGAAAGTGACTTAAACTCTCTGTACCTTTACATTTCCATCTTCAAAATGGGGATGATAATAAAAGTGCTTAGCTCAGATGGGTGTGGAGATGAAAAGAATTATTGTTTGCAAAACACCTAGAAAGATACCTGGAAGAAAATAAATGCTATTTACATATTTTCTTTGGTTATTATATTTTAAAAATTTTAATCCTTACCATAACCTTTTCGGTGGGGCCAGTGTCAAGAGTGTGCAACCCGTGTAGTCTCTCAGGACCCTAGCCTGAGAAGGGCCCCTCCTTGGTTTAACTCATTTCTATCTCCTCGAAATTCTTAACCATTGAAACTAACCCCTTCCCCCACTTGTATTTTGCACTGGGATCTGTGTTTTGTTGTTGTTGTTTTGGTTTTGAGACAAGGTATCAGTCACTATGTAGCCTAGGCTGGCCTCCATGTCCTGGTGATCCTCCTGCCTCAGCCTGCTGAGCGCCCAGATTACAGGAGTGCACCACCATGGCCAGCCAGGACCTGCATGTTCTGTATCTGGACCTGCTCTTGAGGCTGGAAGTAACATTGTCCACTACTGTGGTTTTGGACAAGTAACACATGTAGTGTTGTCAGTTATAAACTACTGTGTAGTTACTGAGTGATCACAAGGTTCCTGGGAAAAGGAAACCAGACCACACGTGAGCAACATGCACGTGTTCCGAAGTGGCATGTATTGTTATTACCACTTATATTTATAAACTGCTCCAACATTTCCAGATTCCTAAGAATGCATTTTGCTGCTTATAATTACAAGAAATTTTCATTGCAGTGAAAGATTTACTAAAAGTATCCAGTAAAATAATAAAACTTATCTTTATAAAAATTACAATAGGTTTATAAGCATGAATGATCATACTCTTACTGTTAGAGGAGTGCCTTATTAAAATCTGAGGCTTCCTCAGCTCTTAAATCCAAAGAAGTTCTTTGCTCTATGGTCCTAGACTAAAGAAGAATCCAGGTGCTTGAATTTGGGCGAAAATGTGTAACACCCTGGAGAAATATTTACAGCTAAGTGTTATCATTATAAAGGTATGCTGAAGACAGTACAGCAGAGCACTGAAGAGCACATCAACCCAAATATTTATTCATAATAAATTTTACTAGTTTTGCAAGCGAATTAGTGGAGCATGGCTCCTACGCTATGACCACTGTACTAGGAAGGCAAAAGAAAGGAAAAACCACCAGGCATTAATTGCTTTGCAACAGCTCAAATTTATATTATTATTACTAATAATAAACTACTTCATGCCGAACATTAGTTATATTGTAGAAGACAAAGAAAATATTTTATAGACTTTTATGACCTGTAAAATATTCTTTCAAGTACAATTTAAAAGTCAAAATAACGTATGTTCTTCTATAATTTGTTTTAGAATATAGGGGAGCAACCAAGCTCTGTGGAGGGTAAAATAAAGCTTTCTGAAGAAAATTAGAGGATAGCATTTGTTTTGACAAAACATATAATGAAAGATTGTTTTGTTCTACTTTTTCAGAGCTGAGGACATATACTCTTTCCATAACAGGGTTTACCAACTAAAAGTAGTAGTAAGCCGTGTCACTTCATATCCATCCGCCAAACTTTAATTTGTTGGGTAAGTATACTCTAGAAAGGTAATCTGAGGACAGGGAGGTCAAAGCTTGGATTTCCGCCTTCATTTTAGAGTCTGCCATCATTTCCATCTGTCAATACAATAAAAAGAGAGGCACCTCAGAGGTCTGCAGTTCTGTTAGTTCAACCAAATATTCAATCTAGACTTGCTGTGTTGTACGGAACCAGAAGGAATAGTCTTTTGGGTGGTCAGCTAGAATATTTTAGATCTGCTACATGTTCAATAACTAGGGATGGGCTTGGATTTTCTTCTTCTTTTCTTCTTTTTTTATCCTGTAAACTATGATACAGCTCATTGAAAAAGGATAAATAACCATGCTAAGGGTAAAAATAAACCATTTGCATCTGGTTGATCTCAGTTATTAGTTTTCATAGATTTGAGTTCAACATTTACTTGCTGCAAAACCACACTAATGTTGTTGGCTGTATAAAACTTGAAGAATATTTTCAAAATGCTGTATAAATAGTTGTCACTAAAGTGCAAGGTAACGAGACTTCGTACATATACTTCATATAACTTCATACTTATACTTGAATTATAAAAAGAAACAGATACTTCTTTTCTCCAAAACGGCTGGCAGGTAAGATAAGGTCTCTTCAAGATACTGTCAAGTTTCTTTTGGTCCCGTTTTGTAAGTGGAATCAAACTATCTTTAGGTATATTTAACCTGGAAAAAATAGATGAAAAAAATCAGTAAAAGCAACGTGTTCCTGTAACACATATATTTTGTCTATATTTGTTGTATGTTTCACAAAACTCAGGAGTAACAGATAAGAAAATCATTAGAGCTCCAGCTTATAAATCTGTCGTGTCTTAGATCAGTGAATTTTCCAGTTCCTAGCTGCAGATCTTGGAGCTATGAGCTCCAGAATGCATGTGTAGAAGCTGAGCTTCACAAAAGGGCTTTGAATTTAGTTTGTACTGAAATCTATGTAGATTTTTTTTTGTACCAGGCATTGAACTCATGATCTTACACTTGCCAGGCAGGCTCTGTGCCGCTGAGCTATATCCTGGGGACTGTACTGAAATCTTTGTAATTCTTTAAGGATTTTGAGCTACAGACATTAGTCCATCCTTTTCCACTCAGGCACACGCGCGCACACACACACACACACACACCCCATTTAGATTTAAATTTGAAAACTCGAGTTTAACTTTATCTTGGTATGTGCTGTAAAAATAGAACATGAGAGCACTGGGATTTATGGTGTAATCTACTTTTTGAAGTCACAAATCCTGGACATCCCAGGAGAGCTCCAATTTCAAATAGTCTTTTTCGGTGTCCCCATAATTATGACCATTTGCCAGTGGCTACTCCTGCACGGGGTGACAGTTTGATTGAAAGGGAGGCCTAGAGCACTTCTCTTGCAGAATGTTCGTGTAACCGTCATACTGGCTTGCCTTTGGTCGTGTATTTATACATTTGGAGTGGTTCCAAGGCACACATGGAATTATGACATGCAGCTAGAGCGTCTCCAAACTCTCTACCTTCAGATTTACCAGATCATTTGTCCTGAATTTGTGTTAGAAATGATCTTCATACAAATAGATCACCTCCAAGGAATTTTGACTTTGACATATACACTACCTTGAACAAAACTTTAATTCACTGGATGGAAATTTTCAAAAACAAAAAAATGAAATGTTTCTTCTTATGCTCTCGTTTTTTAAAAAAAGCCTATCACCCTAAAACCATCCACATTCCATTTTTAGGGAACCAAGGATGGTTCACTGTTTAAGGAAATCCAATAAACACGTTAAGTTCACCCAAACTGGCAAATTAAAACAATAAGAAGATATTTTACAGTATCACATTGGGAGAAACTAAAAAGAAAAATGTTACTCTCCTATACCAATGGACAGGTGCCAGTTACTCTCCAAGGAGCGCAAATCAATTAACCTATCCAAAGGACAGTCAGAGCCTCAAAAATGTGTGCACTCTTTGATCCATGATTCTTCTGGGAATTCAACCTCAGGGACTTATTAGATATTCAGGAAAAGATTTAGTTACAAAATGTCCATCCGCACACTATCAGAACAGAGATTTGGAAATCACCTAAATGTCTCACTATGAGGGGTCAACTAAACAAACATCCAGTATTGAAGCTCAACAGTAAGAGACAGTAGTAACATGATGTCACAAAGAGAAATATATTTTTATATGGAGAAATGATCACATTGCGCTGCATAGAAAAAGCAGATTACAAAATAACACTAAGTATGAGCATACCTTAGTGAAAAAGTTGCGACTGGACAGAGAATATTCTACAAAAGCAAACCTGCTCAATTTTAGGGACTTTTATCTTATAAATGTTTTTTTCTATTATGAAGATATATATTAAACTTGCCACACATGATGGTCCTAAACTTTAGGTAATCCTAAAATTAGATTTTTTTTTTTTTTTTGGGTTTTTGTCCAGTACCAGGAACCGAACTCATGACCTTGCGCTTGCCAGGCAGGTGCTTTGCCGCTGAGCTAAATCCCCAGACCCCCTAAAATTAGATTTTGAAAGGTTAAAATTTTAAATGTATGATAAAATTGATTCCTGTGTCAAACAATATTGTCAGTGGTCATCATTTAGTTATGTTCCACGTATAATACATATTTTTAAGTATAAAAAATTTACAAACTATTTTAGCCATAGTAATAAAAAAATCATTTCTGTAGCTAGCCTTTAAAGTACAACTAAACAAACTCATTTGTTAAGAATTCCAGTAGTAGAAGCAAAAATACTGGTTAATCTAATTCATAATTATATAGCCCTGAGTCAGGGTAGACAATATAAATTAAAAAATATTAAGAGTTTCTCTTTGTGTGGCTTTTCTGGCTCATTGTCGTACACTGTAATGAATCATTTTCCATGTCTTAGTCCTGCTATATACCACCTAACCTTTTAATATCAGAAGGGAGGAGGCCAAGCCATCTAATAGCTGGGACCGTGAGGTTGTGAGCTTCAAATGACATAGACTGAAACGAAGAGCAGAAGTACATTAGGTGAGACTAACTTGCAGGAGACTAGCATTAGCATTCCCGTTTACGCAGCAAAACTTGTTGCATATTAATCAAGACAGATGCGGAACTGTAGTATTTTTGTATTAATTTTCTAGAAGCAAAACTTCAAGTGAACTTTTCCAACCTGTAGTCATTGCTATTTGTGGCTCCATGTCCTGCACGCTCTGTGTTCTCCTTTATCAGCTGTAACCCTGAGCAACCTTCAGAATCACCTGGAGATTGCAGTACAGTAGGTTTGCATGGGCACTGAGATTTGCCCTTCTAACAAATTTCCGGGTGATGCTGATGCCCCTGGCCCAAGATCACACTGTAAGAACCACTGAAATACGGTCATCTCAGATTCCTCACATTCATGAGGCATGATCAAAATATATGATGAATGTTTTGGTTTTTTTTTCTTGGTACCAGGACTTGAACTCATGACCTTGCACTTGCCAAGCAGGCACTGTGCCACTGAGCTATATCCCTGGCAGATGAATGTTTAAGTTTTAAAAATTTATTATGCAAAAGATACATTGCTATTAATCTCCATCAAATACTGCCCCTCACTTAACACACTTATCCCATCATTCTCGCCGTTTTCGTAAGCAGTTCTGGAAGTCCTCTTTCATGAGAATCTTTACGAGGTGAATGCTGCTGCTGAGTTCCATCTAGGGAAAAGCAGGCATGATAAAAAATACAGTAAATGTTGATCCCGTCCACTGGAAAGGCAGGCTTGTAAAAATATTACAGTATTTTCCCATCCACCTTATTCACTGGAGCTGGCTTTTCCTCAAAGTCAAAATGACCATGAAAGGTGAAGATTTTGAATTGATTCAGGCTATCAAGGCAGCCACAAAAATGCAGAAGAGAACTTCCAGAACTGCCTCAGAGAGTGGCAAAGGATGGGATAAGTGTTCTGAGAGGGACTAATGGCGATGTGTCTTTTACTGTGGTAAGTTTTTTAAAACTTTAAACATTCAGTGCATTTTCCGGTCACACCGCATGCTTCGGTGGGCTGGAAGATTCAGGACGACCGTGCTTCTGGCCCACGGCAAGTCCTTCTCCGTCACCCGGGTTTGCTGTGGTCTTGCAGCCACTGAAACACAGCGTGGGATTCCAGTTCCCCTAGCACAGTGATACTGAACCTTTTAGAGATCGAGCGCCCAAACTGCAACTCAAAGCCTACTTATTTATTACAAAGTTCCACTACTGCAATTAAACCTGAATATTGAGGTTTTAGTTTAGAAAACGCAATCTTTTGTTTTAAATGAAAAAAATAACTGAACTTTCAATGATACAAGCAGCCTGCTACAGCACTCATGCCATAGGTCTGCTACCACTGCCATAGCACATTCTGGGGGCCCTTAGCTTACTAGAAGGTGCTAAGTAAATGCAGAACTATCCTAATGAACATAAAATGTCTAAGTAGTAAGAAAAGGAAAATTACTTTTGTGTACTCACCATAGATCCGTATTTATAGATGCACATTATTTCTATGCCTATTAAAAGAAAGTTAACTTTAAAATTAGCCTCATATCTTACAGGTTCCACTCTCAAATTTTATCCAACATCTGCAATTTTTATTTTTGTATTACTGATGAAAAATTTATGTTTCTCAGTTTAACATAGCAGACGTAACCATAAGTTGCCTTAAATAGTTACAGTCTTTAACTTTAATCTAATCATATTCTCTTAAAATATTTTATTAAGACCAGAAAGCACAACTAAAAACATGACTTATCCACTTCTAAATAGTGCACGGGTAAATTACCATACGGGTCAGCATCTACCAGTGTGAAAACAGGAATGTGAAACAGGTCCCACAGTTTCTTGACTAAAAGTCTCGTGTTCAAATCAGGTACTCCTTTTCCCTAAAAGCAAGATAGAAACTAAGCATTTTAATTCCAGTAGGATAAAGGCACACCACTACTCCTTTATTTCATTAATAATTTAAAAGTGAGATTCCCTACCTTGAATGGGGAAGACTGGCACTAACTGGAAACAAATGTGAAATATGTAGGACAGACTGGGGGAGCCCATGTACATTTATACCTTTGCCCCCCTTACACCAGTCCTATGAAAGGATCCCAAGGCAACATTTTGGCAGAAAAAAAAGAATAATCCTACACAGTAAAAGATGATCACTGACATGTTATTTAGAGTAGTAAACACTAAGAAAAAAAAAAAAGAGCCAAACATATCTAACCACAGGGACATGGATAGGTGGCATAGCTCATTGGTGACAGGAAGCCAGCTGTGGGACAAATAGCCTGGGCTGTCATCTGAGCTCTGCACTCCTTGATGGCATGAATTTGAAGGAGTAATGGAACCTCCTGTGATTTGGGGCTCTGTAGTCACTTACAAGCTGTAAGAGGAATTACATTATTTAGTAATCATGAAGCACTTACAACAGTCCGTGGTTTAAGTTTAGCGTTTACTAAGCCCTCTGTGGGGGGATAATATGAAGTTATTAAAACAGGTACAAGAGTCATTTAAAGAGCATTCACAGTAGTGTCAAGAAAGCAAAGAAGGAAACCGACTGAAACACGGAGCAGAAGAAGGAAGTAGAATATATGTTGATATTAAGAACAAGCTGTGGATACAAGGCATGTAGTCTAGTGGCGGACATCTTGCCTTGCATGCACAAGGCCCTGGGTTCAATCCTAAGTACACTGGACAGTGCAGGGAGAAATAACCAGGACAGACTTTGGATCAGAGAGCTCTGAGTTTGAATTCCCTCTCTGTCCATCATTATCATAAATGTGCCTGTGAGAGTAGGCAGGTTTCTTAGTCTTTTTAGGCCTTGCTCTACCTATAAAGTTAGATATCTGGCATTGTAGGAACACCGAGCTGAACATAGAGTTATCTGAGCCAAACACCAGTTTTGAGTAGCCACAGAACTGCGGTAAGGCACTTCCCTGGGACTGGGACTGTAGCTTAGAGCTAGAGTGCTGCTGAGTTCAACCCCAAGTACAGCCAAAAATTAAAAGAACAACAACAAAGATACACAGTGCACTGCAGTTCCTATGATCAAAGTAGAGCTGATGAGACTGTCGACCCCTGCCTCCCAGCATTCAAAAGATGAGCAGGAGGCTTGCACGACATCAAGGCCAGCCTGGGCCACCAAGTGAGTTCAAAGCTAGCCTGAACTACATAGTGAGACTCTGTCTCAGAAAACAAAACAAAACAAAAACCGAAAAAAGTGTGAACTTCTATTATATACAGTGCTTAGCAGAGCTAAGTGTTCCTGGTGAGCACTTTGTGAATTGCAGTGCATTCTAATGTTTTCCTTTGGGAAAGACAACATAGGAACATGTTAGAGACATCAAACAATATGACAGGCTACGGGTGAAAAATGGCTGCTTCCTGGCCCGGTTCTCTAGTCCCCTCCCTTCTCCAGAGGCGGTCACTACGGGTCAGCTCGAGGGTTTTTCACAGTGGTAGCACTAGCAGTTGCTATTGGATACTGTGATGGTGTTGAGGACAGCAGCATGTGCAAGCAGGTAAGAAAGGACTAGAAGGCAGCACGCACAAAAGCACAGAGAAATGGAGAACGTGTGATCCCCCCCTCACGTGTAGTTTACAACCACGCAGATCCTCTCTTCAAGGCAAGCGTGACACCGAGCCAAGCTCACGTGCATCTCCAGAGCAGTAGTGCCAGGTGGGACTCAAACGGTGAGGGCCAAACCCTGCAGCCTTCTGTCTGCGGTGGCTTGGCCGCCAGTCAACCTCTTGCTGCCAAGATGCCCAAGGAGAGGGGCCCAGGCCGAAGAGTGCAGTGCAGGCCATGGCCACAGAGACCATCGCCGCAGGGCCTCACACAGGGCCTCTAGCACGCGTGAGCTCTTGCTCTGCGTTTCCATCTTGACGCCTGGCCCCTTAACTTCAAACTAGGCAGAAGCCACGCGGGTTTTCTGCGACCACGGCAAGTTCATCTTTCAAAACCCATGCTCAAAAGCCTGTAAAGAGCTGAGTGTGCCCAGTGCTTGTCCTGTAGCAGGGCCGATACTGCTCTGACGTTCACGCAGCAGAGCGGTGCGACTCGTTCCTCGGCTCAGTCGTCGCCAAGTCCTTTCACACGTCCCCTTCACCATCCCCCTTCATCCTTACACCGAGGGAACTGCCCAGAGGCTCCGGCAGGCCCGATCCGCCTTGTCTCCACCTAATGGATGCGCTGCCTCGCTAATCCTTGTCCTTTCCTCCCGCTCCGCTTCAAGCATTTCTCTGAGCCCCAATTTTTCTGCACCAAACCAGGCCACCTCCTCGGGAGCGGCCAGGCCTCCCAAGACCCCAGCCAGCAGCCCGGGCTCCTGCTCCCTCTCCGGGGTCGCTCTCCTCACGCTTCCATAAACATACCTCACACACACCATACTTACTGTTAATCCAATAAGCCAGAGGAATTTTAAGTAGAAGAGCCTTGTGTTTTCTTCTTCAAAGAGCTAGGTTTTTATCCAGATCTACAAAAGCAGAAAGGCTGGGAAAAGAGCTAGCAAAAGGGGACAACCTGGTCCACACTCTTGTGCTGTTATCATCCTACCCATATGTGCCCCAGGTTTCCTCTCCCCCACCTCTTTTTTTCCGTCTCGGGCGGGCTTTGCTGGTGGCTCCGGTTCTATGAACTCCACATCACCCTGTAGCGGGAAGTTTACTGCCTGCCATGGGCTGTTTCTGTCCCTCCCAGATTTATACCGAACCTTAACTTCAATGTGATGGTACTAGGAGGCAGCACCTTTGAGCAGTGCTCACATCACATGGGTCAAGCCCTGCTGGATGGGATTAGTGCTCCTAGGAAAGTGCTCCAGGCAGGTCTTTCCCACCATTTGGGGACACAATGAGGACTCAATGAGAAGATGACCATCTAGTGAACCAAAAAGCAGGCTCGCACTAGTCACTAAATCTTCTGGTCCCTTGATCCTGACTCACGTCTAGAATTATGGGCAGTAAATGTGGGACTAGGGTATGAGCATGAGTTCTCTCAGTGACAGGAATCATGATGTATGTGTGTCTGTTTGTTGCTATTCTTTGCACAGTTATGTTTTTAAAAAGCAAGCTCCTAGCCAGGTATAGTGGCACATGCCTGCAATCTCAGTGCTGGGGCAGCCGAGGCAGGAGGATCACTGCAAGTTCGAGCCAGCCAGGGATATGTAGTACGTTCAAGGCCAGTTTGAACTACATAGAGAGACCTTGTCTGAAAATAACAAGACAAACACAGAAAGGCAGGGTGGGGGGAGCAAGCTCCTTTTGACGGAGTCAGTGAAATTACCTTATATAGAAACCCGTGTGAGGAGGAACAAGGAACAGCTCTGTTCACGGAACCCTGGACGAAGCCCACGTGTGAACATGACATAGTCAAGATGACTAGTTCCTGTGGGGAGTATGAGGGCTGCACCAAGGGCCTGTGAGCGCCCTGGTGTTGTTGGAAATGTACTGGTCCTTACAAATCAGGAGCATCGCCTTGTTTTTAGCCAGGCGTGAGAATGTTTAACACCTTGGATAGTCCTGCTCGACGCCGCCGAGTGACACACTACCTGGAAGCCAGAGGGCTGCTCAAGGTGCAGAGACGATTCCTAACCCCTCTTACCAACACCACAGAGCATGCGTTAGTCCCAGGGTGAGGTAAAGGCGGATACTCTACCGTCACCATGATGCATGGCGACATTTGGTTGCAGAAGTTGTCATCTAGGAGCCGCTGAAACGTTGCGTCTTTTTCTACAATTAACAGAAACTTTGCATCTGTGATTAAGTCTGTGATGTTAAGGCTGATAAACCAAAGGAAGAGTACTGGGATTTAATCACCAATTACATTGTGGTGCCTTGCAGAGAGTAATTCAAAAGCAGGCACGGCAAGAATATGCTCGTGTTTACCTTTACATATATAAACATGCATTCACACATCTGTCTCCTACACATGTGTGCTTCTAAAAACGCCCTAAAGAAGGGACCAGGTCTGTTTATTTTGACTGGGACATGAACTAGACACCATAAAAGCTTGATTTATCAATGGGATGAATGAATTTTCCCCCGGAAGGATACTCCGAATTCCTTCAATGTTAGATGGCACAGCAACAGCCTAAATTTAAAGAAAAAGGACATTTAAAATTTTTAAATAAAAAGCAAGTGTAAACTACGTTTCATAATTTATCACAAAAACCATGTTTTCATTTTTCTTTGAGTATACCAATCATCAAAGACTTATTGCTCAGAGAGAACAGTGGGAAAGAATGCAATCCCTCAGGAAGCAAACAGACACACGACCCACACTACTTCCCGGCAGGGAGAGTTTCTTAGACGCTTTGTAGATGTGTGGCTTCAAAAGCAGAAATGAGCCATGTGTGGTGTTTCAAGTCTGTAATCTCAGCACTATGGGAGGCTGAGGCAGGAGGATGGCAACTTCAAATCCAGGCTGGACAACCTGGCAGCTTAGTGAGACCCTGTCTCAGAATAAAAAAATAAAAAAGGACTGGGGATGTATCTCAGTGCAAAGGCTTTGGGCTCAGTCCTCAGCACAAAGAAAAGGGAAGAGAAAAAAGAAAAGGATGAAGGACAACGTCCTGAGGTAGGATCTTGGGGAATCATCTGTCTCCTTTCCTAACTTCTGAGTGGTTCCATGCTAGCTTAATACTGCAGCTCGAGACGTACCAAAGCCCAGGAAAGAACGCAGTATGCAATATGTTCATTTTAGAGCCAGTAGTTTTTGTGGAGATTACATGAATAACCAGGTTAAAATATTTAAGCTGCAGTTTACCTGTATGTTTTAAAACAGAACAGTGTGTTTTAAGTGGAAAGTGTTGATTACAATATGACAACGGGCACAGTTTGAACTACGTGAGATACAACCCTGCAAAACACAGGCCTACTCATCCTTCAGTTGGACTTGAAAATCTTAAGCTCTAAGGTACATAACCAAGCAAGAAATAAACTATATTTCCAAATTAAAGGAACTGGGGGGGAGTTAAAGCCCATGAGACATTAAGGATGCTTACAGAGGCACCACAGGTGCAGCTCACTCTGGTGCCATCTTCCTCGACATATCTTAAATTGCCAGCAATTAACCCTTTGGATGTTGACAACTAGAAAAGAAAGACATCTCTGAAACCTTTTCTGCAAATATACATTTTGCTGCTAAGTCATTCTTCATGTTCACCTGCTAAATTATTTGTATTTTTGCTCAGATTGGAATTTGGAACTGAAGGAAAAAATATGTAAGGGTATTTAGGAATTAAAAATATTTCATAATTCACCTGATTTGGTTCATTCATTCAAAGGAATATATTGAAAAGACAATTTAAATTTATATGAGAAAAATATAGTGTCAAATGACATTCAATAGGTAAAGATTACATTTATTATTATTACAATTTCTTGGAAACATTTTGTTTTAAAATAAAATATTCATATTAAATATAACTTACAATATGTAGACTCCTCCTTGGTACTTTCAGCATACAAGAAATGTCATCAATAATATTGTCCACAATAGTCTGATTACCAAAGAGTTGGCTGTCAGTGTAATATATGTCTCTACAAAAATTTAAAACATACATTTCAATTAATTATGTTGTCTGTGAATATGATGAGTATTAGAAATGCTATTTGGAGAAACCCTTAACTAAATGAAACACAGCATATAAGGAAAGTAACGTAACACCCACAGTTGGGTGACTTTTCAAAGCATATAATGAAAGTTAATCTAGTGAAATCTCACATTATACTTGCAGAGTAAGTAGTTTACCAGAATAATATATTTACCTTTTGGTTGCATAAGTGTTGCTCTGTACTAATTTATAAATCATGGATAATATTTTAAGAATTAGAGCTGAAAAATAAGATGCAATGAGTGACTTAGTTGCCATTGTTTGCATTAATTCAAAAGACATTGTTATCAAGGACTTTAATGGTCCCCAATTACTGTCCAAAATCTTTCCAAAATGGAAGTTTAATACAGAACAATTGCCAAAAAAATCAGATAAAGTTAATTGCTCTTTTGACAGCAAAACAGAGAAAATAATATTCTATTAAACCATATATCTTGATAAGTACATTTGTTTAAGAATGATAATCTACTTCTATGGCAGCTGACAATGCAAAATTTTAGAAAATTAAGTAATTTACAAGTGACCTATTAATGAATAGATCAACTAATTATCAACAACTAAAATCTAAAAATAACCAAATTTATTTATTTTTATTACTCAAAGCTAGGAAAGATGAATTTACCAAATTTTTGAACTGATTTTGGTGAATCACTTCTGATTTTTCTTGTGGTACAATGGGATACCATCTGAAGACCCACAGTATCTTCAAACCTGTCATTTTGTTTAAAGCAAAGGAATAAAATAAAAAAAACTTAACTTCTGAACACCAAACAATATACACTTAGTGTTTTCTTCTATCCACTGACCCAATCCCATATTTCAACTTTATACAAACACTAAACCTTTAGGAACACCTCATGCAAGTTTAAGTTGATTGTTTCAGATTGTAATTAGGTAATTAGCTTAGTGACATACAGCACCTAAAATATTCACCTTTGATTATGGAGTGTGTGTGTGTGTATGTACAAACTCTTGGGAAAACATTTAGGGTATGTGGAATGTTTTTACATTTCATAATTTTATTAGTATTTTACTCACTTTAATAATTTCATTTAATATTTTGACTCAGTTTAGTAACTTCTGAAGTATTTTATTTTTGATTTACCCACAAAGGAACATTATGTAAAGCAACAATTTATGTAGGCTGTTAAATTGAACCACCAACCGCCTCCTAAAGGTAGCGTGAGGCGTGAGGCAAAGATGCTAGAGAGCTGCTGCTTCAAGTTAGATAAACTCCATCTTGCAAAATACAATTCAAAAGTGCACAGTTTGTATTAATTATATTGATCATAAAATAGTCCTTAGTGACTAAAGAGTCTCCAAATTCCTTATATTCTGTCTCTGTAATTCTTACAAAGTTTAAGAACCATTCCTGTACTATTTTGCATTAGTCAGTAGAGAAGATTTTACAAGCTGAGGTTGGGAAATAAAGCAATTGTACCTCTAGGTTGGCACAAATTTGGACTAAACTGTTGAACTAAGCAGACGGAGGTCACCGGGTAGCCTCATCAGTGGGCCCTGTGATCAGAGTTCTTTTACTTCAGCCTGGCTTTTTACTCAGGACTGGTTGTCCTCAGCATGCAGGGGTTTTCTGTTGGTTTTTTTCTTTGCAGTGTAGGAGAGAATTGTACCTGAGGCACCCGCCACCCACTGCTCTGGAGGCTTAGAGCCATGCTTTGTATTTACTTTCAGCAAGAGCCTCTACATTTTAAATTCCAACCTCTTTCAGTGCTCAGTTTTGTTCTGCCCTTGTTTTTTCTTGGCTGTGTCTTTCAAACCTAATTCTAGTTTACACAATCGTCCTTATGTACATGTTATAAACTTCCTAAATTTTTGGTGGTGGGGGAAGTAAAGGCAACATAAACAATGGAATCTAACTAACTCAAGTAAATTGGAATAAGGACATAGATACTGCATTTAAACATAAGAATGCAAAATGCCCACTTTATATTTTCCCAGCTTGATCTGTTGTCTATGATGAAGGCAGGTGCCTCTTTCCTTGCCAAGCTTGTGACAATCTCTTGAATGATATTTTCTATAGATGCAAGAACCTCAGCACTGAAACAATAAACACACCATGATTCAACTTTAACTACGAAGTATGCCTTTATAATATGTAACATTTCCCCACATCAATGTAAAAACAACTTTTGTTTCATGGGATGCTTTTTAAGACTTAGAGATTCATGCCAGCAATGATCTCTCCCGCTAAATCTTACCATCAGTCCTGCATTAAAACAATGATGTTTACTGTGGTTACTTACAAAGAAATTGTATTTACTTGTAACTTTATCAAATTACGAGTTGAAGCAATGTCTCCCTTTTGTATTAATGACTACATGATATAACTTACAAATATATGTTTGCTCCTCATTAACTTCCTTTACTCTAACTCAAATATAAACTTGTTGGTTTGAAAAGCTACTGATAAATGCTTTAATTAAAAACGATGAGAAAAAGAAGAAAAAAAATGATGTAATAGTGGCGTGGAATTTCTTTCCCAAAAATGCAATGCAAAAAATATTTCAAAAGAAAAGTTCGTTGTAGCACATTGCACACTAATTGATCTCATGCCTTAAAATCAGCCTCTTTGAAGTTTAGTGATTCAAAATGGAAAAAAGTTTAATCACTACCATGGAAAGAACAAATCATGAGTTCTGCACTAAATGGTTGACTTGGCAACTCTTATGCCACTTCATAGTAAAATATTAAAACTGAGCCCAAGGGGCTGGGGATTTAGCTCAGCGGCAAAAGCGCCTGCCTGGCAAGCGCAAGGTCGTGAGTTCGGTTCCCGAAAAAAAAAAAAAAAAAAAACAACAAAAAACTGAGCCCAGTTTCCTGTCAGTGGACTTTTAATTGCACAAGCCATCAGTTAAAATTAAAACTTGTGCATCAGAAAATGAAAATGTGTAAATCAGAAAATGAATTTCCAAACATTTAACATTTTCTAATATTGAGAGAGGAATTAACCCAAATACTTCATTCACCCCTCCCCCCCACTTTGAAAAAGGAAGTTGCAGGACAATACTATAAGCAACATATAATGAGATTAATTTATATGAGTAGTGTAGATAAGGAACTTCTCACTTCCTCCTTTCTTTCTCACCTGCCTAAATTTGCCTTCAAACTAAATCCTTCTGTAAAGATTTGATTGCTTATGGGATTTTTGGTAGTTTGGGCTTATATATAAGATGATAATTCATCAATAAACAAGAAAAACAGATCAACACAGCAAAACAACAGAGAATTTTAAATAAAAAAGACCAATCATGCCAAAATTCTCTGTAGTTAATTCCAAATTGGAGAGCTGTAGTCTCTGTGGCCGATTTTAAATAAATAATTTTAAATATGGGTATTGTCTCCAAGTCAAGAAAAAAGTTATGAGCCCGGGTGTGGTGGCGCATGCCTGTAATCCCAGCACTCAGGAGGCTGAGGCAGGAGGATCGTTGCGAGCTTGAGACCAGCCAGGCTCAAGGTGAGCTCAAGGCCAGCCTGGCAAGCGCAAGGTCGTGAGTTTAGTTCAAAAAAAAAAAAAAAAAAAAAAAACCAAAAAAAAAAGAAAAAAAAAAAAAAGAAAAACATTATGGTATTACGAACCACTTAAAATGTGCCGATATCCTTGTTAATTTTGAGAGAAACATTAGCTCAAGTGTAAACTCACAGGATTCATTTGCTCACTTCCCTTTCTTTTCCCACTAAAACCTTAAAAAGCTTTCTAAGTTAAATTTATTTAAAAAAATTTTTTTCTTAAATATACAAAGTCAAACTCCCTGACTTATAAGGATGTTGGGGGAACCTGCGAACCTCCTAGAAGCTTCTAGAAGGGGAATATTCTAGAAGATAACAGAGCCCTGTCACCAGATACCATGAATTCCAAATAAGGTTAAAGGTGGAAGGAAGCCAGGGACCGCAGCGACCCCCTAGCGGTCGGAGCCGCTCCCCACCGAAAGGCGCGGACTTTCCCCTCAGAGCAGCCACCTTAGTCGTCCCCCGCGTCCTCCCTAATGCCTGCGGGGGCGCTTGTACCTAGAGGCCATGCGAGTCCCCTGTCCCGAGGGCTCCTGGCCGCCTCTACTCAGGGTAGCCAACAGGGAAGCTCTGTGGCGATCAAGGACCTCAAAGAACGAGGCCTCAGGGCCCATGGGGGCAAAAGCCATGAGGGCAGAGAGCAGCAAGACCCTCCCTGGAGGCGGCACGAGCTTTGCCCGCACTGTTTGGTTGGGCAGCGCCTGGCGCAGGCGCACACCACACCTACGGCGGCAGAGCAACGCATGCGCATAGCACGGCTTGGCGTGCCGTGTGTGTGTGTGTGTGTGTGTGTGTGTGTGTGTGTGTGTGTGTGTGTGTGTGTGCGCGCGCGGGGGGCTCTTTCAGGCGGACTCTACCTGCGAAGCCGAGAGGTGAGTGCTTACCAGAATTCAGGTCCGGCGCATGTAGGGAATCTGGGGAGCTGTGCTGAGATTTCCTTGAGCTGACTTAATTATTTTTTGAGGACTGTTTAGAGAAAATGATATACACAATTTTTCATTAAATAATTCTGGGGCTGGGGACGTAGCTTAGTGCAGAGGCTGGGTTTGATGCTCAGCATTAAAAGCAACAAGAACAAAACATTATAAAGATCCTGCTATGTGCCTGAAACAGTTCTCGGTACTGGGTTTCGCTGTGATCCAGGCACACACAATTCCAGCTCTTGCTAGTATTTATGTGAGAACTGAGAGATTATAGAGCCTGTTCGCTCAACCTCTCTTTTTTTCCCTTAACTATTACGAGAAGTTTGCACTGGGTTAAAATCCTAACCTCTCCGCGAAATTTCACAAATTAAAACACGTCATCCCCTTAAATTTGAATTTCAGCTAAACAATTTGTCCTTTTTTTTTTTTTTTCTTTTTTTGTTTTTTAAAAGTAACTACATCCTATGTAATCTTTAGGACACACATTTACTAAAGTTATTGTGTGGTTTAACTGAAGTTATCTTAAGCAGGCATCCTGTATTTTACCCAGGAATTCTACCGGTGCACCATGTCCTCCCCTTCCAGACGAAGTGAGCAGCGTCCTTCCGTCTGCTGCCAGCCTCCTAGAGCTGAGGGCGAGAATTCTGAAGGCCAGAAATGGAGTCTGAGCAATGCCCATGACCCAGAGGAAGTTAGATGACGGCCTAGAGCAAGATGGTTCCAAGACCTGGGTCCAGCATGGACAGGTGCGGAGTCCCCGAACAGTCAGCTAACCACACACCTGCTCCAGAGAACTGTTTGATGCCTTCAGTTCCTCTCTGATAGTTTTGAAACTAAATTGTAAATATGAACAGTAGACCCCCTCACCCATGCTGATGGCTGCCCGTGTGTGTGTGTGTGTGTGTGTGTGTGTGTGTGTGTCCTCTGTGTGCAAGCACTGTGTTGAGGGTCTGTGTTATTATCACAGTACTTCTCCAAACCTACCCTGAGCTATCTAGTACTAGCTACTGAGCACTTGGCTGTGAACATGGAGGGGAAGGGAAACTGCAGATATACAGGTGAACACTTAATAAAGTTAGCAGAGTGAAAAGTGCACGTAACAACCCTGAGAGGTAATGATTAGTATCCCCATTTCACAGGGGGAGAAACTGAGGCTCGGAGAAGTTGACTGTGCAAGCTTGCACCTTTAGGAAGTGACAAAGCTAAGGGAGAATTTCTAAGGGAGAAATTCATACTTTTAACCCTTAGGACGTGAGGTACCTCCCAGGGCTGACTGGGCACAGAGTTTCATTTTTTGGAGCTCTTTTGGTAGTAGAATTCCTGTTTAGCCTCAGTTTCCTCCTCTTTCAAATGAAGGCGCTGTGGCAAGTGGGCTTCCAGATGTCATTCCCAGTGAGGAGCATGCCAGCAGAAGGCCTTTCAATGACCAAGGTGAGTCAGTGACACCAGAGTCAGTGCTTCTGCCAGAGGCACGGCTGTCCTGTGACTGGGACCATGTCTGGCCTTCTTCCAAGGACTTCCAGGCTCCTAGCTCTGTCACTCCATGAAAGGCCCCCCTGCTGGGTGGGGTCACAGGAGGAGATCACAGCGGTGAAGTGAGCAGACTCACACTAACCCTGCCTTTCCTGCAGCCAGCACTGCAAGGTGTGACTTGAAAGGGCCTCGTGGGGGTTCCTGCTGCCATAGACCAAAGTGGAGCGTTGGCAGATCCTTCCAGCAGCTGCAGCTTTCTCTCCCTCCAGGTATCCTGTGAGTTCCTGGTGTGAACACAGGCAGCTGTTTGCACCGCCTCCACATCAAAGGAAGCTAGCAATCCGGCCCCAGACAGTGAGACAGACCCAGAAAGACATGTGCCCCAGCAACCCCACTGCCAATGACCCTGGCAAATGCCAACCTGCAGGACCTGCCACCGAGTCCCTCCATCACATAGGCCAGCTAAGCTTCTCCCCAAACTGCCCTGCGGGGTCTTTCCTCCAGCCTCAATCTGTGATCTCCCCAAATCTGTCTGAGGGCCAGAGCTTCCCCGTGTTTGGAAATGTTTAAATTAGGTGCAATAATCGATTCTGCCTCTAAGATACCACCAAAGGGGAAAGAAGTAGGCAAGGTGGGGCAGACCTCTCAAACAAGACAGAAGAGACTGTCATGCCTACTACATGTTTAAAACAATTTTTATTTATTTAACAGTACTGGGGATGGAACCCAGGGCCTCACACATGCTAGGCAAGCACTCTGCAACTGAGCTACACCCTCAACCCTGCCTGTCATGTGTAAAGGAGGTAGTTTCCTTAGCAGAAGTAAGAAAATTTTAAAATAGTATGGATTTTTTTTTGAAGAGGGAGAATATTATGGATTCTTGGGAGAAAAGCAGTAGTGAAAATACCATCTATTTTCTTTATCTCTTGAGAGTTTGTGAGATATTTCTTTTCTGTTTTTTTTTTTTTTCTTCTCACAAAATATTTACCCAGTTGAGAAATATATGATGTAAAAATGAAAGGAAAACCCCTTCCCAGCATGTCTGCTTCCAGCTCCATCTTAATTTGTCCTGCTCTCCAAGGGGCGAGTCTGCACCCTGACATTGTTCCTTGGTGTCCCCAGGGCCCTTGCACGTGCCCTTTCCTTAGGAGCTCCAGTTGTCCTTTATCTCTCCCCACTCTCCTTCCCTCACCCCCAAACCACCCTAGCTAATTCTGCATCCTTCAAGTGGCCCCCCAAACGTGTCCCTGGATGTCCCTCAAAATCTTGCCTCCTGTCTTCCCTCCTCCATCTGCCTGTCATTCCCACCTTGGAAGCCCCAGGAGGAAGATGGACTATGCCTGCCTTGTGCCCCATGTTTCCTGTGGCTCCTAGAAAGTTCTTGAAAAGGTTGGCTGAGTGAATAAGTGAATGGACAACTCCCTATAGGGTTATCTCTGTTACTTATTCATTGCACTTCATCCCGGGCAACTTTCTGCACATACCAGGGAGCCTTCAGTAACACTGAATAAGACCATCCTCTGTACTTGTGACATTACTGCCTGGGGTAATATTAGTAACTGCACTTTGCTGGTGGTCAGGCCCTGGGCCCAGTGCTCCATGCACTGATCCTGATTAACTCTGTCTTTCACTTTAATGGGGCAAAGTGGAAGCTTTGAGAAATAGCATAAAAAAATTACTAGGTTTCACCATAGAAATGCAAGTGACAAAGTACAGACAGGATCATTTTCTCTGATCCAGTATTAACTCAAAGTCAAGGTAATGTAGTTTTGTGTGCGCACGTGTGTGTGTGTGTGTGTGTGTGTGTGTGTGTGTGTTTGAGACAGGGTCTCACTCTGCAGTTCAGGCTGTCTTTGAACTCACTTTGTAGCCCAAGCTGGCCTCAAACTTGCAGCAATCCTCCTACCTCAGCCTCCCTAATGCTAGGATGTTAGGCATGTACCACTATGCCCGACCCATGGTAATTTAGTCTTGGTGAATTAATTTGCTTACTTTTTATAGCCAGTTGTGGAATAACAGGATGTATGATGTAAAGCAGATCCATAAAAGAAATTCAAGTCTAATTTTAAAGTGATCACCAAACTATTTGTAACCCTGTGTGTCATTTCATTAATGAATGTGTGGTGTTCATTTGTTCTGAGAAAAATCAGGTAGCGTCATTTGCTACCATGGACCTAACACCAGCCTCTCTGGCTGTCAGCTCCCAGCCGAACTGCATCCCCCTCTACCTCCTTCCCTTCTGTCCCCAGATTGTTTTAAAGCAAGTTCCTGACTTCATGTTATTTCATCCATAAGTATTTCAACATGCATCTCTAAGTAAGAGACCCCTTAAAACTTTATCATGCTATGAATGTGATCATTATGTGTATCTAAAATGTACCAATAAAATCTTACTAAAAAAACTTTACCATGCTAAAACTTTACCAAGTGTTGTATCTGTGGAAGTTTCCCTAATTGTCTCATGAATTATTTTTTATTTTAAAAAGTTTCAGTTGACAAATAAGTTTGTCAGTACATTGTGTTATGACTTGTATTTAGGTGTCCCCACAAAGCCTCCCATGCGCATAGATGAGGCTTTGGGAGGCGGCTGGATCTTGGGTGTATGATACTGGATTAAGGCTGCGTGATCCAGCCTTAGCCCACTGATCGCATTAGCATAATTCTGGGTGTGGCTGAATGGATTTGCTGAAGACAGACGCCCCACTTTGGCTGTGAGTGGCACTAACCATTGGGCTATAGCCTGAATGGAATATAAAGGGAAAGGGAAGGTCACTGTTGCTGTCTTCTGTCTGCCCCGCCGTGGACTGTTTCTCCTCTACCATGCCTCCCTGCCTTGGAGCCAGCTGACTGTGGACAGAAACCTCCACAAACTGTGAGCTGAAATAAACCTTTCCTCTCTTAGCTTGTGGGTGTCAGGTATTTTGTCCCACCAATGAGGAAGTAACTAAGACATATTGTATCTGTTTGTTGTGTGCAATGTTATTTTGAAATATATATATGAATCACTACATCAAACTAATCTACATATGTATTACCTTACATACTTGTCATTTTTTGTAAGCACATTTAAAATGTACTTTATCAGCAGTTTTCAAGAGTACAACACACTGTTACTAAGGATAGTCGCTATGAACTTATTCCTCCTGTCTCACTGAAATTTTATATTCTTGTTTTGTTTTGGTTTGTCTTGTGGTACTGCAGATTGAATCCAGGGCCTTGTGGATGGTAGGCAAGCAAGCACACTACCACTGAGCTACATCCCTAGTCTTTATTTAAGTATATTTTATTTTGAGGCAGGGTCTTGCTGAGTTGCTCAGGCTGGCCTCAGACTTGCAATTCGCCTGCCTCAGTCTCCTGAACAGCTGGCATTATGGGTATATCCTTTGATCCACATCTCCCAGTGACCTTCCCCAGCCTCTGACAATCACATTATACTCTGTGAGTTCCACTCTCTTATATCTCACATACACGCATGAGGTTGCGCTGTATTTGTCTTTCTGTGCCTGGCTTATTTCACTTAATATCTGTAGAGAGCCCTTCCCAGTGCTCTTCATGGCCCAGGGAGTTGTATTTGTAATGTCATGGAAAAGTTATTGGAATTCTAGTGAGTTAATTCTAATCTACCACTTTCAGTGCAACCCGTGGCTAGAATAAAGACACTAAGGTATATTTGTAGTTATGAGGATCCAAGGGGTCCTATGTCCAGCTATGATAATGTCTATCTGGAACAAAGGCCTCCACCCCAGGCCAAACCCAGGTTTTATTCATTCATGAAGAAGGGAGTGGCTTGAGGATGAGTGACAGAACCGTGGGAAGTAGGTGAGTGCCAGGAGCTGGGCTAGGTAGGAGGCCTGAAATCACCTCTGGAAATGCAGAGAGAAGGATGTGCAGAAAGAGTCATCTGCATAACACAACTGAGATAGTATCTAATTTGTGGGGTCAGTGCTTGAGCTACTGTGTAATTTTTAAAGCCCCAAGAAGTCACAGCCTCTATCCCAAGGCTCGATCCCAGCTGACAGCGTGGAGCATTGGCTCACACATCCCGCCTCATCCCGGCTCACTCGAGGGAGCAATGAGGGTCCGGGGAGACACGCCTGCCATCTCCAAAGACTACCATCAGCACCTCAGCTAGACCAATGTGCATTGCTTAAAGTCAGTTGAAGGGATAAGGAAAAGTCCTGGCCAGCTGTGTACACATCAATACATGGAAACAGGGTCAGGCTCAGCCAAAATGGAGGCAATTGCTCCTCTTTCAAGGAGAGCCACCCAGGTGGTCCTCCACAAATATCCTTGATATTCATCCATGTGTTACAAATGATAGTATTTCTTTTTTAAATGCTAAATAATACTCCATTGTCCATGTAGGTCACATTTTCTTTATTCATTCATTGCTCCATTGACAGTCACTTAGGTTGATCCCACATCTTGTCTCACCACAATGAAGCATCACCTCTCACCTATAAGAATGGTTATTGTTGAAAAGATAGAAGGTAGCCTGGCATGGTGGTGCACACTTGTAATCCCAGCACTTGGAAGGCTGAGGCAGGAGGATCCCCGCAAGTTCAAAGCCACCCTGGGCTACATAGTGAGTTCAAGATCAGCCTGAACTACGTTGCAAGACCCTGTCTCAAAAAAAAAGATGAAAGGTAAGTGTTGGTGAGGATGTGGGAAAAGGGACGCCTTGCACATTGCTGGTGGGAATGTAAATTAGTACAGCTACTATGGAAAACAGTATTTCACTTCCTCAGAATATGAGAAATGGAACTACCACATGACCCAGCCGTATCACTCTTGGATATTTAGCCAAAGGAAGTGTAATCAGTGTGTCCTGAGGACACCTGCAATCCCATCTTCATTGCAATATTATTCACATCAATCGAGGTAGAGACTCACAAGTTATAGTTCCTTCTCATCAAAGTGCGAACAAGGTCCAGTCATCCGTGGGTGTTGGTTAATACTCCTCTTGGCTCCTTAGTTCTGTGGATTCTCCTCCATTTTTCTTTTCTTACAATTTAGCTGTTGAAGAGTTTTGTCCTAGAGAGTTTTGTGCGACTGAGTATCTACGGATTGCATCCCTGTGGTGCCATTTAACATGTTTTTCTATTCCCAGTGTTGGCTGGATTCAGAATTGTCACTGATTTTTTTCTGTTAGGAAGAATGTTTCATAAGTGGTTTAAAATATTTATGGCTTCTGTTGAAATTGTTCAGAACTTTCATCCCTGGGGTCTCTGGACTGAGAACGTGAGAGCCAACCTGAGCCTCGTTAAGTGAAAGAGAAGCCATGCCTGGGGCCTAAATCATGCTCAGACAGCTCCATGCACTGTGCAAAACCCCTCCACAGGAGATGCCCCAGATAGATGGTGAGTTTAGTTTTCCTCCACCTGAGTCTTCCTGTGGGTTTGCAGGGAAGGTTCTTCAGCCGGCCCCTTTTCCTATTCCTAGCACATAGAGTAGCTTTTTTTTTTTTTTTTTTTTTTTAACCACTGCACAGCCTGACTCCTCTTCTCCGCTTGTTATTGCTTTTTCCTCTCATCCTAGCAGGGCTGCTGCGTGCCTTCCTCCACCCTCCTTTGCTGCGTGCCTTCCTCCACCCTCTGGAACAGCCAAAGTGTGACCTCAAGATACTCTCAGAGCCACCCTCCAGCCCTGCTCCAGAATCCAGCCCCTGCACTACAAGACAATCAGTTGACAATAACCAGAGACGTGCTTTGATTTAAGGAGCCTTTTAAAATTAAGTAATTTTCTCCTGCTCTGCTGCTGCTGCTTCTGTCATGTTCTTTAAGATTTCTTGGAAAGGGGTTTTGGTAGCAAGGACTCTTATAAAAGACCAGAAGGCCAGTTCTGTGCCAGGGATGTTGCCCCGAGGGTATTTCTACTGGAGGGAGTCCAAGCAGGCCCCAGAGGGGAGATGGAGACAGGCATGTAGGTTGTTCTTTTAGTGCTGGCATTCAAAGCCCAGGGCTATTAACACTAAAAGAAGCCAACTACTAAACTAAAAGAACTAAACCATGGGATAGGTTGTGGGTTGACTGACATATCACAAAAAAAAATTTTGAGGCATATCAGTGAGAGACAGGCAGATTTTATTAGGTAGAGGTAGGAAGTATACATGTGCAGAAGATAGAGTGTAGGCCCTCAAGAGAGATGTGCATTGTGCTCTGGGGTGGGGTTTTGTCCTTCAGGAGCAAGGTCCATTTGTTTCTGTGAAAGTTCACAACTCAAATGTTCATATGCGTTTGTGTCACATAATGATTACATTCTTCATGGGAACTGGGACATGTACAGAACATATTTTAATTCATTTTTTTTCTTTTAAAGAGAATAAAAAATTAAAAACATTAAAAATGATACAGCATTTCAAAACAAGATATAGGAAATTAATAATGGTTGCTATATTGCATATTGTTATCTTCAAAGTAGTTGTTCAGATTGCCAGATATAAGCATGCAAAATTGATCAAAAAATTAAGCATTAACTGTTCCTGTCAGTAAACTAATAGACATTAGCAGTACAATTGTCTTAGCTTATATATATATATATATATATATTCTTTTCTCCTTTCCCTCATCCCAGTTGTTCTTTCCTTTAGAGCAGTTTCTTTCCCTTTCACAATATCTATTGTATCTTAATTCTTTTTTCATTACCTTCCTCCCCTCTTCCACCTCTTGGCCCCTTTCCCAGTTGGAAACGGTCTATTTCCTATTATCTTCATTTTGTTTTGCTCTTTGTTTATATTTTATATTTTTCATATAAGAGAAACCATTCAGTAGTTGAGCTTGTGTGTCTGATTCATTTCCC